TTTTGAAACATCCTTCCTGCAAGATAGCAAGGTCTTACAGGTTTTAGAAATATCAACTGGGTTTTTTTTTTGTTGTTGTTTTCCTTAATTGCTATTACTACCTTTCTGAAACAGCCATCAGTAGTGAACATACCATAGACGGGGATTCTGTAAGCCTTCCACTGTGGCTCTGGACTACTGCCACAATTCAAAGGCTTAACTGAGAGCGGATGGCAAAAGGCAAAGGTGGCGCACAGGACATGGGAATGGAAGTTGGTAGGTGGGGAAGAAATCCAGGCTGAGAGTGGGGAATTTAGACGAGGAGCAAACACTGGATGAATTTCTGCAAGAAGAGGCTGGTAAGAGATGGCCTTGAAGTTTAGAGGAGAACCAATCTAATGGAGTGTGGAATAAGAGTAGCATAGTTGCATAAGACTGGGCTGATAGGAACCTGGGACTATCTGTGTGTAGAATACTGTGGGGTAAGGATGGGAGATGGACCTGCTGTTGGCTGTATTGTGGAAACTGCCTGTGATTATTTCGGCATCTGTAGCAAAAATTGTAAGCTATATGGTATAAGAAGCTAGGGTTTGCAAGAGGAGTAGAAATGCTTTCATGTTCAGAGTGGTTGAATGCTGTCCTGCATTTTATTCCATTTTTTTCTATGGAATTCTTTAGTTATGACTGATAAACTGTTGGGCTCTCAGTACGTGATTATCTATTGGGCATCTTTGTTGTAAGTGTCTGGTTTCTGAACCTTGGTGTCAAGAATGCCATGCTTTTGGTGCCCAAGATGAGCCACCATCAACATAAGTAGTTATGTAATGTTCCATTAGATACATTACATTAAAAAAAACAAAAAAAAAAAAAAAAAAAAGACACCACACAAAGAAAAATGGCTTTAGCTCAAGATATGGGTGTACTGTGTTTAAATTACTATTTCAGTGTTTGTAGATGTATCTGGGATGACTGGCATTGATACAAGATAGATCTAAAGGCACTAAACTCAATGCAGTCTAGCTGTAGAAGTTTTACATGCTTTCTGGGGAGATTTTTCAGTCTTCGCTGGGCCATTTGTTTCTACAATGTCAAAATTAGCTGATCCCATCAAACAAAGATGGATGGACCTGCTGTGGTTCCTTTGTAATCAGCTTTTTCAAGCTGAAACACAAATTCTAATAACCTCCATTTCCTTTTTTTGTAAGAATGAATGCTGAATGCAGTGCTTTTCAGTATATGTATTCACTGTTGATAAGATATAGTAGTCTGGATAGCAGCATTTAATTACTAAGTCAATTAATTTAAGAATAGCCAAATTTGCTCACCAACTCACTTTTTAGGGATAGTAAAGTTCTGAATAAAATGCTAATACAGTGTAGTTTTGTGTCGCGATGTGTCAGGTAACTTCTATATTACGTGTTTGGTATATATTTAGGTTGTTTTTCAGTCTTGTGGATCTAAAATGCTGGGTAACCTTCTTGATTCTTTATCTTATTCCCAGGCTGTTGAACTTTGATTATGAATTTTCCTATTGCTTATGTTGTTTTTATGTTAATTACTGTCTGTTAGATCAAAAATAAAAAAATATATTTAAATGTTAACACACTTCACTTTGCATTTTTTAAGAGAAACATTTTTTGTCAGACAGCATTGGTTTTTTGATTTCTAGCCATTCGTTTAGGCTGTAGGTGTTACATTTCAGGAAATCTGCCTAAATCTGACATGAAGGTCTTCGCCCATCCCAGCTATCAAGGATTTTGCTTACCTTTACTGCATTTTGTCACAGATTTAAAAATGTAAGAAGTGCCCTGCAGGCTTAGTCTGGTGATCCATCCAGCTAACACAGTACCCTTTCTCTGGCAGTGGCAATAGGGAAGTGGCCAGACTGATTTTTCCGTCTCCCATTGCCTATTTCCATTGTATATCTCCAGAATCTATAACTGGCATAGGGTGGTTAAAGGCAGATCCCTGTCTGTTGTTTTTAGTATCCCTATATGTACCTGTTGTGTGATAAAATTATCCAGAGTATCACATTTGTATTCTGTAAATAATTAAGGTTTGAGCTCCAGATTATTGGATTTTATAACCTTGGGTTGTAAATATCTCACATTGTGCTGTTGATAGGTTCAGCAGCATTTAAACAGTACGTTATGATACAGCTCTCAGTACTTTATTCATGCTTTTTTAAACTTAGAGATCTATGTGCAAATGATTTTGTTTTCTACAGATGAAATTGCAATCAGACCTGCCTTCTAAAGGCAACTGTGGCAGCTGTCTTTAGACAAGTGACTTTTCCTGAGCACATGTAATATGACAGGCATTCCATGTAGGAAAGAGGGGTTGAGTTTTCTTGACATAGGCAGAAGCAAAACAAAAATGTTGCAGTTTTCAAGATTATTAGTGTACTAAAATACAAAAAGTGTGGAAATGAACTTTCAGTGGCCTGTTGTAACTCTGTCTGGGATGAACAATATGAAAAGTCTTTTGAGTCAAACATGGCCATTACGCTCTCTGAGGAGCTGTAACTGGTAACTTTACACTGTAAAACTCAAGTGAAAACAAGATACATTGCTACTTATGGATAGTTCAATTCGTAGTAGTGCTTATGACTTCCCATTAAGATGTTAGGGACATTAATTTCTCTTCATACAAAAAGCTCTATTGTAAGGATAGTATAGGTGGTACTGCATTTTCCTTTTGAAGAAAAGATTTCTCTTTATTAACTTTTTTTTTCCTGAGAAGTTGTCATAGTATGCTATATTAGTATATGTTTTAAAATTAAGAGTAACTGTTAAGTGAAATTCCATCGCATGTGAAATTAGTTAAGAAATAGTGCTGGTTTATTTTTCCTGGTTTTATTTTTAATGAACTTAGGTCTAAATCATTTCTTTAAGGTCAAGACAAAGAACTTTGTAATATTCCCAGCATAAATTATATCTGCCTTTTGTTTTTGTTTTTTCTACCCTAGAAGCATAACTGTGTTACATAAAAACTTAATGCATTTATTTCACCTAGTAATAACCAACTGTTCTGAGCAGAATTTCTAGGATAATACTGCGTGAATTATGTCTTGTGTTGGCAGCTATGCCATTTTGTCTAATTCTGTGATAGAGTCACAAAACATGTATAAGCACAGCATTACCAGTTGGAATGCTGAGTTAATGCTCCCCAGGATCTCTCCGTGCACAGAGGACTGGGCAGAGAGAGGGTTGGTTTAGTGATTGAAGGCAAGAGGTCAGCTCTGCAGTGTGCAACACCAAGGCAGAGATGTGGTGGGAAAACAGTTATAGTGCTGATAAAATGTCTGCTGAAGGTTAGGCAACCTAGCCTAATATTTGCTACTGAAATGCTAGTCATTTGCTGTGTATTTATATATAACACTTAAAGAGCCTGTTGTGGCATAATCTGTGTGTGATACAACCCATAACTAATTGCAAGTTGCAGTACAAGTTACAGCATGGATGTATTACAAACCTGCTTGAAATGCTTATTTGAACCTCAGAAACTCTTCAAAGATTCAGTGGCATTTTGGCCAGTAGCAAAGTGAGTTAAGGCTTCTGTTGTTCCATGTTTCTCTTTTTTTTTCCCTTGTGAATAGGTTAGATTTTCTAATTTTTTTTTTTTTGGCTCATAGCTGATGGTAATCAACAATATTGCACAAACTTGTTTCTACATGCAAAGTTAAAACTGCAAAGTTTATATATGTCTTCTAAGTTACATCTATGATTGTTTCCATTCTGTCTCTTGCTTTCAAGAAATACTTAAGTATCAATATAATTAATTCCAGTGAAGCACACTGTCATGCTTTCATGTGTATGGTCTAAAGGAAATTAACACTTCAGGTATTCAGGGCAGTAAAATTAGATGGTGCAACTTTCAAGCTGGGTGGGGATTTTGTTTGGTGTATCTTTGTTTTGTGTGGGAGTTCATGGTTTGGTTTTGGTTTGTTGGATTTTATTTTTTTTTTTTCCTCCCCCTGGCAGACAATACCCCTTATTGTGCCATTTGAAACTCCCTATGCAGTGGTCCACCTGCTTATTCCCTAAATCACCTTAGGGTAAAGCATTAATAGTGTCTCTCTCTCTCTCTCTCTCTCTCCTTTTTTTCCTTTTTTTTTAATCAATTTTTTTCCGCCTATAAAGTAACCATTGTGTTCTAACTCAAGTAGTGATATTTAAAATTGCAGGGGGGTGGGGGGGGGGAAGGGGAAGGAAGGAGGACAATGAAAAAGAAAACAAGTGCTTAAATCTAAAAGAGTAGTTTTCTTAAAATCTGGACTTAATTTTTTTTTTTTCCCTAACCATACCCCACCTTTTTTGGTTTTGTTTTTGTTTTTTTTTTTTTTTAACCTCCTTTATATAACTCTTTCTTCCTATTTTCCTAATTTGGGTGCTTTCCTAAATGGCAACGAATAAGCTCTTTAAGTAGGCATTGTCAGATATATCTTCTGAAGCACTCTTTTTCCACTGTTTTGATGTTTAAGAGAATTTTAGTGTAAAGGAAGCCTGTAATACTTCTCCATCTCCTTTTCTCCTCCTACCAGCAGTAGATCTGTTGCTTAATTCAGTGTATCCAAAATAAAAGGATGGTTGGTAGGTTTTTATTTTAAATTTTGACTTACTAAAATTGTAGCTACATATATTTTTTCTGGCTTTGAGATCTGTCTCTGTCTTTTACTATTAAGAAAATTTCTTCATTGTGCACATAAAACATCCAGCACTTAGTAGCTCATGTGAGGCTAACTTAATTGATGAATAAACCATAGAAATGCAGAAGTTGAGTGGAAAAGGTGTATTTATTTATACAGAAGAATATGAGGGATGAAAATAGTTCGGGGCGGGTTTTCTGTTTTTTAATCTTTTTGCTTAATATAAATACATCTAAACATCACTGGAATATATAACTTATAAAATATAGGTAATATATTTTAAATTAATTCAATATCTTAATTGAGTGATGAAATATTTGTGTGTATAGTCTAATGTTAAATATTTTATTTCTCTTACACTTTTCCTTTGCAGATTTGTTTCTTACTACATCACCAGATTCACAAAAAGTTTATTTTGAGACATGGGTAAATAAGGTAAGAGAGAAAACCCAAACAACCATTCTGTCAAAACACAGACAAGTTTAAAAAAAAGGCATCTGATATTTCTTGTTTCAGGAATGAGTGGAACCAATATTGAGGCACTAACTCTGCACTATTGCATTGAGACTGCAGAGGATCACTGGAGATCTTTTACTCAGCATAAATTCTTCTGCAGGTTTTTTAACATGACTGCTGAGTGAATTAGTTGCCTTCATATACCTTAGCAGGACCCCTGGTGTGTCATCAGCCATTGTAGGAGGTTACTGACACTTTTAGCATGGTGATTATGAAGGAAAGGCTGATCAGATTTTTTTATTCTTGCTGTCTCAAAGATTTGAGTTCTTTAAGCTTTCTTAGACCTATGACTTCAGGTCTTGGGTAAGATTTTGAGGGACAGAGAGTTTCAGAATCTCACTTCTAACCATTACAATGTGTATGCAAGTTACAGCTGAGAAAATACCAAGTCCTCTGTTAACCATATATCACAAATGCAGTTCAAGGTTGGGGAGAATTAGGTCAATGGATTATTCTTATTTATTTATTTACTGAGATTCTGCTTTTGTATTGCCTAACCTGGCCAGGGTCAGTGGAAAACCTCCTTGTTAATAACAGTGAAATTAGTTGATTTGAAACTAAGTGCATCCTTTATACTAATGCTGTTATCCAAAAGGACTCTGATTAAGAATCCTAGCATGTGTATGTTAAAAGTTTACTTTTTTGTTATAATAGAAAGTGTGAATGTGTTTCTATTAGCTAAGGAATGAATTTTTGAGGATTTATTTACCTGAATATTTATCCATCATATCACAGTGAGTCACTGTAGAACAGAGAACGTATTCTTGTCTGTGACAACATGGCCATCTTCAACCAGCTCCTGAACTGAAAAAATAAAAAAAAAATAATTAATAGCTGCCAGATATTCTCCAAGTATTTTTAGACAAAAGTAATGTAAGCTGTTCTGCACACCTTTTTTTTAAGCAGCAAGTCCTGAATTCTGTATTTCTGGCTTTTATATAGACTTGAAAATTAACAGTTTTACTTTGCCAAATTTAATTCTTGGGTGTTAGTGACTAAACAAGGCATTTGACCCGTCTCCTGTAGGTGTTTTAAGTTGTGTGGTGGTGTTGGTTTTGTTTTTTTTTTATTATTATTTTCTTACAAATTTTGGATTTTCCAAACTCACGTATTCTAAATATTATCCTACATTACATATTTTATATGCACAGGTTTGCTTGTTGTTAGAAAGAAATAAATCTATTCTTTGGAATCAATCAACTCAGTAAAATATGTCATACATATAAAATATAAGTATGTACATATCAATCTTAAAGTACCTTAATTGATCCATTAAAAGGTGCTAAATTTCTCTACAAGCCTAGGCAATGTAATTCCCTTCACTGATGCACCATAAAATGCTTTTAAAATATTTGTCTATATGATGTATGCTTTTCTGGTCAGCTGAGCACAGAGCCTAGTCTTCTTTTCTCCCTGGAGATGATTTGCATCAATTTACCTTTTTTACCCTTTTTTTTCTTGTCTGGGTCATTATAAATTATATGTCAAGGTAAAGATACATAGTCAAACGTTCACATGCTAACTGTCTCCAGAGTTGCATCTTCAACAGCACTGAAGTCTACAAACTGAATATGACATGAGTAAGCAATATGGATAGCTGTAGATAATCCTCAAAACAGTATCATTTGTCTCAATGGCTTTGCGTAAACTTGTGTGAATAGAACTTCCTATGAGCTGATTGCAATGACTAGAAAAGTAGGCCACGGGCCATCTCACTTGGCTACAAAAGCTTAACATTTTAAATGATTTTGTGCCAGCTCTGATCTACTCCTACAATAAACAAGGATGCAACACTCTTGTCTTTCTGATGAAGTACTGAATATGGTTTTCTGCAGGCCTAGGTTTTAATTATAGATGATTAAAACAAGACTTAAACCAGACCTGATGTAAAATCAACTTATTTCCTAATTAGAAGGCAAGATCAGAAGCTGTTTTTAACAGGTGTGCAGCTATATTTTTATGTATTACATATAACTATAAAATCACATGTCAATATGCATAAATGCACATTAGTATTCATAATCACTTAGTTATGATTTTGATTATATTGTGGAAATAACCCAATCTCTTCCTTATAACACAGTAAAATATATAGACAGTTGTATCCAAATATTACTATTACTGGGTTTCCATAAGATTCCATGAAGGATTAGGAATGCAAAAGCTCAGTCCCAATTTTCAGAGAGTGCATTTTTTTTTTCCATAGACGAGATATTTCTATTATCTACTTAAGTGCTTTTTTCTTTGTGTATTTTCTTTGGTTCAAAAGTCAATTTTTATCACTTAGTATGCAATTCAGTTTTTCCATCCTCTTTGTCCTGTTTGATAGGATGGGAACTTCTCTAAAGAGGGAGACAGTAAGGAAATGCCTCGTGGTGTGAAAGTAGTTGGACAGTCCGTGTTTGCAGACTTTGGTGAGTGTTATTTTTCTAATCTATCCTGAGAGTTCCTTTCTTTTTCATACTTTGGTTAGCTACTCTAAAACAAAGAATAAAGAAAGATGTTTACCTCTAAAAGTGGAGTTTTTTACTTCTTTTCCTTAAGGAGTAAATCTTGAAATACCTGGAAATAATTATTAATAATTTCAATTGAATTCAACTTTGGCTATCCTAGTACATTCTGCATCATATGTATCTACTTTTCAGTGCCACACTGAAGGGCTGTTGCTTTGAGGCACAGTACAATGCCAAACTTACTTTTATCTGACGTGCGTTTTGTTTGCCATGATTTTGCTCTTTTTCCCTAATCTTGTTGAGAAAATACTTGAGTAAGTGTTCATAAATTCTTCACTTGTCCAAACTAATAAAGCCAAAATGTAAATGAATTAAAATGACTTGAATAAAGATTGATGAAACATGGTAAAATCTTAATGGTTGTAACTGAAAATTCTGGATGGCTTTTGGACAGGAGAAAAACTTAATTTATATGTAAATCTATTTTTGCAAGGGTTAGTGAAAGCCTGTATTTTTCTATTAGAATGTACATTTTCAGTCAGTTGTTGCTTATCAATGTGTGTGTCATGTTATGAAGAATCAGCCATGTTGATTTTGCAGTCCAAAAAATACTTTTTTTCTGGACACTAAAATACAAATTTTATAACCCAAGGGGAAGCACTGCAGGCCTGATTCTGCTGACACTATTGAATGTAAACAACTTCTTAAAGAACTGATTTACTGTATTTATACAACATGATTGTTAATTGTAAGTCAGTGTCTGTTTTTAAATATTATCAAATGGTAGCCTGGCTGCATCATTTTGGTTTAAGATCGGTTTTAAAGAATATTATGTGGGGGTTTTTTTAACTATAGATCAGATTATTTTAGACCCAAAGTCCAATTCTCTGGCTCTATGCTGCCATTTTAAAGTATTCTTAAGGGTTCTAGCAAAACTGTTTACTGACACGTAACTAGAAGACACTCCTGGATAGTTAATTATCCTTAGATCCTTATCTAGCAACTATGGATGTGTTTACAGATTTACAGTAAATGAAATAAGGTAGCTGTACAATGCTCTAGGTTCTTCTGTGAAATGTTTTACGAAGATTTTTAGAAAATGTGTTAAAGTTTTTGTAGAATCTTTTACTGTTGATCTACAAATATAAACACTTGTGTATATAATATATGAAGACAAGTAGAATACCGTTTTTTGCAGTTCAAAAAATTTAAGTGTGTTGGGTTTTTTGTAATTATTTGCTGAGCTGATGTTTTGAATAATGTGTCTTAATAGGTACTAAGTAGAAATCTGGCTTGGTTTTTGTTTTCTTAATGATGGCAATGTGGAAAGCAATTCTTATGTAGGATAATTTTATCTGTGTTAGGTAGCTAATGAGCCCAAATGATACATCGTAATTCTAGAAATTTGTCATAATTAATGGAATTATAATAAAACCTGGGATATCTTTGCAAAGAGAATTGGAACTGTTAAAATTTTGAAAATATGAGTAAATAGAATACACAGTGATCTAGCAGTGCAGTACACAGTGTGCTTTTGGTGCAGCCAAGGTTATAAAAGACTGGCCGGTACAGCTAGCTTAGCCACAGGGGCTGCTGCTTTGGAGTGCCATCACCAGTTGGTGCAAAGTGCAAAGCACTGGTGTGAGGCCGTAATGGAGCAATATGTCTAGTAAGGATTAATATAATGAGAGAAAACATGTACAGGGACTTAGGAAATGCATGGAAATGTAGAGGGACAGCATATGTGGCAAAGCGGCTAGAGGCCAGGAACCATCAGCCTCATCTATGGGAGGAGATGCTGGTTTTCAGAAGCTGACTTTTTGGCACTGGTTATTCTGAGAGATGGCAGCCATTTCATCTCAAAGAGAGAACACCCAGCACAGATGTTGCAAAATCTCACATTACTAGAATAACACTGTATCAGAGTAACTACATTTACTCACTCTGCTATATCTGCATATGTTTAGATACTTCATACAGGTTCTGCTTGTACTGAGCTAAGTTAAAGAAAATGCCTTACTGGAAATGGCTTGTTAGACTTGAACATCTCCTTTTTTCAGTTTTCCGTTTCAAAATTGGTGAAATAACGCTTGTCATAGGTCAAAGGAAGTTAAGATATGATGGTTTGCAGTTTGGTGTAGTAATTTGGCTACCTGTAATGGGGCCTGAAAGAAGTTTCATTGCACAACAAATCAAAACCACACAAGGAAGATGTAAAAGGAGATGTGCTAGAGGATTGCGCTACTTCTACCAAAGTAGTCGTTGCCAAACAGTGTGTGATCCACCAAGCAGAACATGCCACAGCACTGTCAGTCTGCTCGGTGTGCTGCAAGCAGCTTCACTGTTGGCGCCAGGATACAGCTGCTGGGACTAGAAACACATTCAATATGCACTCCCAAGCCAGTCAGTTCTGTGTTGCCTGCCACTGTTTTCTTCCTCTTTTGTGACATTTTCCATACCTCATAGCAGATGCGCCAGCCTTGCCATTCGCAAAAGGTCTCAAAGGATTCTATATTTCTCTGTGCTTTCACTCTGCTACTTCTCATTTACTTCACTTGTACATATTAGACTCTGGAATGATGTCAGGTCCAGACATGAGCTTGGGAATATGTCACTTGTGCTGCTGCCTTCTCATTTACACCCACCTTTCTGACTGTACACTGTTGCGCTTCTGCAGTCCAAGTTTCTGATTTATTGATCACACCTACGTCTCAGCAAAACGTGTATTGTTTCAGAAGGTGACTTTGTCTAACATTACTTTCTGCTTCTGAAATTTTTATTTGAAGTACCCTCTCCAGCCATAAGTATTTACCTGTCATTTGAAAAAAGGGGAGAACTTTGGATAAGATCTTGACTGAGAACCTCCAAAGGCAACTAATTTGGGGTAAGGTTTCCTTTCTTAAACTAAGCAGGCTGAACAACAGCTATCAAGTAGAAATTTTTTGGGTAAGTGGAGTTGAAAAAAACAGCAGTTAGGTGACTCATGAGAAAGCATCACAGACATTAGTGTAATCTTAGCACCAAGTGTTCCTGAAGTACTCAAATAATAAAGATATATTTTTTCATGAAAAAAATATACAAATGTATGTTTGTATATTTCTGTATCTGTAAGGTCTGCTATATTTCTGTATATATGTGTATGTGTGTACATTTGAATGGAAAAATATGCAAAAGCAGGTGCATATAGATCAACATATTTATGGTAATGTAATAGTCCTTAGACTTTATGTCTAAATTGGAACCTCTGAAATAAGTAGCAGTCCCCTCCGTTACATGATAGCAATGATTTGTTCATTAACCTGACCAAAGGACAGGGAACAACTGACAAATTTGTATTGCCCTTTTAAAAATAAATCAGAAATGCTTTGTGACATATTGATTACAAATGGCATTTCAATTGATTAAGGTGAGCAGAGCTGGGCACTACAGAATTCTGCACTTATTTGGCTGACACATTGCTCCAAAGAAGTAAGAGCTCTTCGTTATTACTTTTTCTATTCTTCTCATGTCACTATGGTAATTGCAGTGCAGTGGTTGCTATAGCAAAAATGATTAATCCTTCCTTGTTGTTATCTGTATGCTAGCAGAGGCTTTTTAGATGATCTGCCTTGTACTGTCTGTAGAAGAAATCATAGATGTTGGCTAGAATCCTGAAAAATAATTACAATTATAATGAGTTTTAATAATTGTCACTTAAAATAGTGGAAAATTTGGTATTTGTTAAAGAAATCCAAGGATTTCAGTGGGACACTGAAAATAACCAATTTTTTTTACTAATGAGATGAATGTGAACCATATTTTGGACACAAAAACCTGCTATTGTCTCGTTACTTTGAAGATTAATGAAATACATCTTTAAAACAGCAACCAAAAAGCAGTTAGCAAAGAATACTGTGCTGTTTATACAGTCATTTCATTCATTTTTGAAGGAAATTAATGTTATAACTGCTATTCAACTATGATTCAGTTGGTTAGTGGAGATAGATAAATCACCCTTTGTGATATCTGACCTAAGAATGTACAAGTTTGGTTAATCAGTGACTGATTTTGCTTAGTTTAGGCAAAGAAATTTGTTGTGGCCTGTATGTAAGGAGAATAAAAAATAGCTTTTTGAAATCAAACTTGATCACACTGTTGATAGTGTCCTCGTATATAAATACCACACAACTCTTACTTTCTCAGGGTAGCATTTAGACAACTCCACCTCGGTTCTTTATCTTTTATTCGCCATTTGCTTTCCTGGCTGCTGCTGAGTCTTTATCTGTGTGGTCTTCCCTAATTTAGGCAGTCTGTGTTTACTCCTACTATGCAAACTTGCTTACTGATTGACAAAGCCTGGATTGGGATTGTTGAAGTTCTACCCAAGTCTTTTAGGGACTCGAACTCAAATTTTTCTCATACTTAAAATCCAGTTATCCAACTAATAATCCTAAAACAATCTTCTCTGTTCTTCTCCCTACTAAGTAATTGAACTGTTTCATGTACGTTAACTACTTCTTTGACATATTGTAGAAATTATCATTTTCCTCATAGGAAAGGATAGCTCATTATTGGCAGTTAATTATGTTTAAACAGGATAACAGAGTGCATAACCTTTGGGTCTTTTTGAAGCCATTCATTGCACAGTACAAACTGCGTTTTGTTGAAGGATTTTTGTTTCATGTGGGCTTTGATTATCCTACAGCTAATGACATCTTAAATGCACTGCTTTTCTGCCTGCAGTTGCATTTCAATTTTGTAGCTTTTAGTTTGGTGTATGAACTTTGTTTTAGCATCTGAATTTCTTTAGTTTTTTCCTTCTCTTCAGAATATTGCATCCTCAGATATAGTAGCTATATATCAAAGGAAAGTTTTAATGGTGCCTTTCAGTAAATAACCACTTCATAAAGCAGTTGTCTTTTGAGCATATATACTTGTGCTCCTGCAGTCAATAAAAGGATTCTCTATGAACTTTAAGATGC